TTTTTTGTTTAAAATTTTTCAAGTTAATATTATTTTTCATTTTTGACTTACCGTGCAGACAAATAACGTGACATCGGACAAAGTAAACCTATAATACTCTTCACAGACTGTTGATGTATCTACATTTACATACCCTTATTATTCACAGACTAAGGGGTTATGATGGACAAGTAATGTTATTTTTAACAGACATGTTATTTGTGAACGTTTTTTTTTAATATAATATTGATATATAAAATAATTTTTTGATTAAAGTATTTACAAAAAGTCATTTAAGTTTTTCTTCCGAAATAGCAGATAAAATAACAGTATCCACTGGTAAACATTAATAGGTTATTAGCGCAGGCTTACCGTGCTGTTTAAATCTCTAACTAACGTTACAATAAGTAATATTTGTTCCGACGCAAGTAGTTGCTTTTAAAAAGTACAATTATGGAAGTAACTAATGTTCAGAGAGGTTTGCTAGAAAGAAAAACAAACTGGAGTATATGGAAATATAAGTTGTATATTTTGCTACGTGGAATACCAGGTGCGACTAATGTAATAGAAGGCAAGGTAGTAAAACCAGCACCTTTACCTGCTTAGGCTACTGAAGATCACCGTAAAAACTATGATACACAGTTGGCGTATTTTACCAAAGCAGAAACCAACACACTCCTAGTACTTACAATAAATATGACAGAAGATCCTCTTCAAAAAATTATGAGGTTTAATACGACACGAGAAGTGTGGTTAGAGCTGCATAGGTTGTTCGACGGTAAAACAGAAGACAAAACTTACGATTCGTGTACAGAATTCTTTAGTTATAAAAGACAACAGAGTAACGTGTACATGTGATTTACCCGAATTGTTACTTATTTTAAAATACTTGGTACATTACCTGAAGAATATTTCTCCTTTAAGTCTAGCTGGCTATAAATCCCAGAGATCTGTATACAATCTCACAAATTAGTTATCCGCCTACGAAAAATCATTATGTAACAAAAGCGATATCAAAACCGAAGAAGTTCTAGCTATAAAAAGAAGTAAAGTCAACAAAAAGTTTAAGCCTAAGAAGAATCTGATTTGTCACTACTGTAAGCAAGCTGGTCATAGAGTTCGTCAATGTACCAAATGGAAAGCCGACGGACGTCCTTGAAAGCCCCAGACAAACAATAGCAATAGAATGGATCAAGACAAGGACATACATTTAACAGTAGTAGCACTTAGTTCTGAAGTTTTAAATATAGAAAATGATCCAGACAACTGGTTTGTAGATAATGGTGCTACAAATCACATCACTAGTAGATATGATATCTTTCAAACATTTGAACACTTTGATTCTGGTTATACTGTTATCACAGCCAATGGTGACGCAATACAGGCAGTTGGCAGAGGATCAATATTAGTAAAAGCCACTGTATATGGCAAATCAGAACTTCTTAAACTAGCTAGTGTCTGGTATGTTCCTGGCATAAAGAAAAACCTCTTTTCTCTATTAGCTGCACAAGACAAACATCCCAACAGCAAGTTTCGTTCAAGAACAGAAGATTGCAAATTATTAATCGATGGAACAGTCAAATTAGTAGGTATTCGAAATCGATTCGGAGGACTGTTTAAATTAGCTCTTCAAAACGTAACTCCTGTAAGCCAAAAATAAACGAGTTGTCGGTTGGTAGCCTGTTGTAGCTATATCACGAAAGGTTTGGACACCAAAATGAGAGACATGTAAAATCTCTTATCGATCGTGAATTAGTTATAAAAGTACCACTAGATAGTGAATTATGTGAGGGATGCATTTATGGAAAAGCACATAGATTAAAATTTGGTACTCGAGAACGTGCAAAAGAACCTGGTGAACTTATTCATTACGACGTATGTGGGCCTTTCATTGAATCTAAGTCAGGAAATCGATATTTTGTGCTCTTCAAAGACGACTTTAGTAAATTTAGATACATCTACTTCATGAAAGAAAAATCTGAAGTTGTTGACAAACTAAAAATAATATTAGCTTAAGCCAACTGAAGCCAAAGTCCGAGGACACATAGTCAATGGTGAATTTACCAGCAGAGAAGTTCGAGACGTCTTACAGCAGAATGGAATCAAGCAAATGTTAGCCATGCCCTATACACCTGAGCAAAATGGGTGTTCAATCAAAGTATATACTTTGGTTCAATTAGCTGATATGCTGACAAAACCTCTTTCAAGACCCAGGCTCGAATATTTAATGAAGAAAATTGTGCTAATAATAGAAGATAATAAATTATTCAATGAGGTAAGGTGTTGATGAATCTACATTTACATACCCTTATTATCTACAGACTATTACTTTGATTTGTATTTTGCTTTTGTTCTGGTAGTTAAGTTTTTTGTAATATTGATTGATATATAAAATAATTTTGTGATTAAAGTATTACGAAAAGTCATTCAAGTTTTCTTTTAGCAGATAAAATAACAGTATCCACTGGTAAACATCAATGTGTGAAGAGCATAATAATAATATAATCAAGGCTAAAACAATAACATAATAGACATTAAAAAATAGGTATAATAAAAAAATAATAAAGTCAGTTTTGAAAATTATTTAATGGGTAATTAGGGCCTCGAAGGTAAACTGCAGTCACTTTAGTCAACTTTTTAGTAGAGCAGACTAAATGTTGTTTGGACACTTTTGTGTTCCATATTTACATATCAATTATATTTCGACAAGAAATGCAGTTAGCCCCAATTATTATCACAATATGTATTGTTTACTAATAATCTAACTATTAAAACTTTTTTAATAAACATGACTTGTTAATTTTGGTAACATATTTCTATGTTCTGATAACAATTTTTTATGACATAGTGTCATATACCTCCAACATGCCTCTATAAATAGTGAGACATAGTTCAGTTTACCTCCCAGGTACTGATATCGGTAAATATTTAATTAAGTCTTCATGATATAGGTACATACCTAACATAGACACAACTATTTAGTTTTTTGAATTAATTTAGTCAAGTGCAATATTTATTTTTATATTGTCATTAAAAAAAACTGTAATGTAAGTTTAGCTTCCATTTTTTTTTAAATGCATGCAACACCCTTCGTGATAAATCCTCACCGTTACATAAGTCTAATACTGTTTATCAGTACTTCTAGCATTTATAGATAGGACATATTTCTAAAACTTCAAATTCATTAGAGACAACCTACAAAATAAAATAATTATTTCTACAAAATTGTACTAGTGTCTAAAAATTATCCTTGTTCAAATAAAATATATAATAAAATTGTCATACTTGTGAAATACCTTCTGGTACAATATACAATGATTTTTCTTGGCTGGCAACTACAATCTAAGATCTGTTTAAAGTTAGGTAGTTTATATCATTGCCATAAGATTCCATTATTTGATGGCACTCAATCATCGTTTAATTTTGATGATTTTCCTATAAAAAATTACAGATGACATTTACGCAGTTTTCTGTTTTAAAGTTGGGTATAAAACACATGACTAATTTGTAGAAACTGGAACAAAACAAAATATAAACATAACCTCAAAAATAATAGTAGATGTTTTACCTGGAGCTTGGAGACGTGTTTCGTTAACAATCTTTGAATTGACACACATACTTCCGATTTATTAAATTCGCAGTTTTATTTAAACGGTTTTTAAATAAACACAATTAAAATTGTCTTATGGTGAATTTTAAAGTTTGACGGCTTGATTGAAAACATCAAGATAAAATAATGTAGAGAAGACATGAACACTATTTGGCGATATGACGACTGAACGCACTTTGAGTCGTATTTTAATTAATTTGACGTTAATAATTTTATATTTGAAGATTGACTGAATGAAAATGTTTTTATATCATTTAAGTTATGCTATTTTTAAAAAAATGGTATTTATTCTTACTAAATCTGACTAACTCCACTTGCTCGAGTTTGACATATGATGGTTGTTTGCGGGTGTCGTGCTACCTGTCTCCTTCCTTCCCAAATGTACAAAGCGAAACATTCATGCATCCAGTGGCGGCTTGTAAACAATATTGTGGGGGTTCACAATGACAGAATATAGATATCAGTAAAGATGTAAGTACAAAACTTTAAGTGTTTTAGAAAGGTTTTAATGTATCTTTCTAAACCACTTATTGTTTCCCTATATATGTTCTGAGATGTGTATTCCGTCATTGTGAACCCCCAAAATATTGGTCACAAGCCGCCACTGCATGAATCTGTCGTAATTGGGGTCGCCTCGGTGGTCTCCTGTCGTGCCTACCGAAATGGTACCTTTAGAATGTTCGATATGCGTCGTAAATAACAGAGAGAGTAGATGAGAGACATCGAATATGGCTTTACGCTTTACCTATGGGATGTAGCGGAGCCGCATTGCCAAGTTTCAATAAATTCACCTATTCTCGGTAATTTTTAAAGTCTGCAATTAAGATCTATATTAGGGTTCTAGGCCTAGAATCTAGGGCACCAACAATACGCTGCACTAGAGGGATTAGGGTCAAAATTTTCAATGTATAATATATGTCGTATTTTATTATTATATGAAACAGAAAGATAGGGGGCGCCATAAAAATTGTTACTGAAAATTGGGCCTCGAATAGGTTGAGAAACGCTGCAGTAACTGCATTCAGCAAGCCTTAAACAATTTTCAAATGAAAAATGAACTAAATACTTTTTTGAGACTGCGCCCATTTTGCGTTTATAACTGCTTAAAGAATGTTCCAAAAATGTTACTTGGGATTGTAACTTTTCTTTTCAAAAATACATAGTCAAGTCGCTTAATACATTTCTGTCAAATTTTACAAAGAAATATTAAACAGTGTCCAGTGCTTTTTTGAATTATTACTTACTACAAAATAAATGAAAAATACAAGCTAAAAGTACTTTAAATGTTACTATCTTTCTATGGTAGGTAATGGGTGCTGTCTTCTGTCAACAGAATTGCCAACCTTCTATTGTGAAACCATAAATTAAGGTGCGACTATTTTCATTTAAACAGCGCTATTATTTTTTCCAGATTCAGCAAATTACCACTTCGACTTCGACGCCTCAGCTTCGCCACCTCACGAACAACCACTCATCCACCGCCCCCAACAGCGGTTCGACGACCACCCCCGACGACGAGAGTCCTTCTCTGGGCGGCCACCAGTCGGAGGACGACGGCTACATGAGCATGAACGGTCGGAAAGCCAAGTTCAACCTATCCTTTAAGCCGCTAGCCGAACACCACGAATCGCCACCGCCGCCCATTTTATCGCCTCACCAATTGAGGTCGCCTACGACGCCTGTTCGACCTGGAGATCCGGATGACTTCCCGCCGCCTCCGGAGGAAGCGCAACGGTTGATCGCCACCTTGTTGCCTAAGTAAGTTGACCATTTAATGCATATAAAACACAACTATTTCTTTGGCTTATAAATACGACAATTTAACTTGACAGCAAGCTGCTTCTCTACAAGCCTATTTGAACTTATGGAATCCAGCTCTGGAGAAACAAATGACTAGGCAATTCCATTCAAGTCTCAAGCAACATTTAAAAATTACGCTGTTGTACATTTCCTACCAGATCATCTATAAGAACCTCAAAATTAGTTAATTACAATGCAATAAAAAAATGAGATAAAACATACTGGCATAAAGTATGTACCTACAGATAAACAAGAATGGCAGAGAGATACTACAGAGAGAACGATTTGTGTTACCGGCGTTCTTTGTTTAACAAAAATTATAAAAATGAATTAGTCGATATACACAAAAGAGTTATCTACCACCCTCTTACGCCTTGGAAATACACCTGCTAGCTCAGGAGCTGGGGTTCTAAATTTATATGGCGGTAGTGATTTAATGGGCTGATCCAAATCACTAGATCCCTTTCTGTTGAGAGAATAGCCAACTATTCACAAGAAGCAATAATATACTGATATTAATTTTTAAAGGATAAATACCTTCTTTTTTTATTTGACAAAACCTCTGGACTATATTAAATAGAGCTAAACGCCATATTTTGCATATGTTGCATATATATATATATACAATTTTTGATTTTGAATGCATATATTGACATTTTTTTAATTTTTTGGCATATATCTGACGTACTAATTGGCTGGACATATTAGAATTATGAGTTTTGGACCAAAATAATATTTTGCGAAATGCCTTTACAGGTCGATTTCCTAAAATTTTGAAGGATTAGCTTTTCCCTGTAATAAATTACGGTTAATGGTGTAGGTACTTAAGAGGATTAAATTATAAACACCCTCCTTAAACCAACAAATTTTGCTAAATATCCTTTCAGGTAGTTGTATTAATATTTTCAAATTTCTAAATGACTCAGTTTACTTTCAACTTCATTTCAGTCTTTATTGTTGTGTTGTGATAACCATTGGGAAAAATGGCAAAATTAATTGAGTCGTATGTAAAATCTTATTCAGATTTTGTTGTAGAAGGTGATAACCAGGTGTTTTGTAAAACATGTTCTAAAATTGTAAGTACTTTTTTATTTTATATTTTATTTTGACCTTTCACAATGGTAAATCAAACGACAGTAAAATATTATTTCAACTCACAGTTAAAAAAAAGTAGGGCAACTTTACAACGTACGTATTTATTTAATTTAATTAAAACTTCAACATCTACAGGAATTTATTTGTTTTAGATTCCATGTAAAAAAAAGTTTCAAATCGACCAACACCCGAAAACACCCTCACATATAGCAAAGCAGAAATCTAAAGACACTCGCAGACAAAGTAAATTTCCCTTAAAACAATATTTAGAATCTGGATAGTCTAGAAGTGAACAAGCTATTTTTAATGAAGATTTATGCGACTTCGAATATCCCTTTAATACAATTAAATAATCCAAATCTCCGATCATTTTTACAAAAATACTGTAAATTTATTATTCCAGAGCAAAGTATATTACGCAAACGTGGTGTTGACAGTTTGTACATTAAGACTCGTGAAAAAATTCGTGAGATTACCGTTGGAAACCATTTCTACATTATTTTGGATGAAACAACAGACTCTTGTGGTCGATATATAGCCCATTTAATGATAGGTTCATTACGCGAAGAAATGCAAATTGGTCCATATCTAATCGCTTCAAAGCAATAAGATAAAACAAATAACTTGATAATAACTCGTTCTATCCAGACAGAATTGTCTTCCTTTTTTCTTCCGGAAGCCGTTCAAACAGAAAAATGTTTATTGCTGTTATCCGATGCTGCCCCGTACCAGAGTTGGGTCGGATACAGGAAAAAAGTATCCAAGTACCGGATACGGATACTTACAATGTATCCGGGTACTTTTTAGGATACTTTCACCTAAAAAGTACTCGGATACAAGTATCCGGATACTTTTTCCGGATACTTTAAAGGATACTTTTACGGATACTTTTAAAGTTACTTAAAATACTGTTTTCATACCAATAGTTATAATTATGCACAATAAGATTGATTACGAATAACAATACTAGGCATAAGTAAATTATCGAAAATGGAAAGCGATATAATAGAAACAGGAAAAAACTACAAAATAAATTGTTTATTTTTTTTTTATTGGTACCCTATTTTACTTATTTAAAGTACGCCTCAGCGTGTTTAAAACGAACTTTAAAAAACGCGCGTTTTAAAGTACCCATGGCAACATCAACAACCCGAGAAACGTGATGTCTAAATGCCAACTTTTTAAATATTGATCTGACAGGAGTGCCTTGTTATGTTAAACAAAATATTTCTGAGAAATTTTTCAAAAAATTTATTCACACATCTAATTGCAACAGTAAAACGTCGAGACTTCACTGTCTTAGATGGTCGGATAGTAATAAGCAATACGCTTCCTTCTTCCTTGATATCAGCTAAGCGTAAATCGCACAATTCACATCTTCTACAAGAGCCAAAGATGCCACAAATAGCAACCACCTTCAAAAATAAATACGTAATGTCCGGTGCATCTGTAAAAAACTTCCGCAAATCGTCTTCCTCGAATACATATGCCTTCTTGACTACCTCATTTTTGCTTATTGCCTTCATGAATGCATGCACTTTGACGAACGATTTTATATCGACCCCTTTGTTTATCCTCAACATACTTTGTAATTTTGAATGGATAGTCCACATAGTCGATACTTTATACTGTTCCGACATTTTCTGGAGATAAGCGAGAACAACTCGTTCATCTATATGTGTAACCATTTGCTCTTCCATCCACGTGTTGAATTTATCATATTCTTTTTTATAAACCGCTTCGGATTTTTGTGTTATTAAGCGCGATTCTGCTTTATTATTTAAATACTCAATATTTGAACTCATTTTAAATAATAACAACAGTTGCGACAATTAATCTTACGTGACAGATTGAAAATAAATTTTTGTTTGTCTCATTTTCATGACAACGAGGTATACTGATGTTACATCACAAATTCAACCATTTTCAGTTATTAGTTCTTATTTCCATTTTTTTGTAGAAATAATACCAATATTTAGGATTTCAAAGTATACCAATAAAAAAAAAATAGCGTAAAGTATTCGTGTATAACTGGTCTTTAAAACACTTGCTCTATTTCGAGCACTCCGGCTGCTCCGTCGTACTCGGAAAATCGCGCGTGTTTTAAAGACCTTTATATCCACTTATATTTTAATATACTATTTATTCTGTGAATATAAAACATTAAAACAAAATGAACAATAAAACATAAAGCGCGTGTAAATAAAACGAGTCGCGCCTGAACCGCGCCAGAAACCAGCCAGTGTCGTGTCCATATAAATATAAAGAAATAAGCTCGTTGTTGGCGCGACTTGCCATGTTTATGCAACATTTCGATATTCTCGTCAGTGTCAGATGTACTAGACAATCCATTTTTTGTGGATCCTCTGACGAGTGGTATTTGGTAGAGTCGAGAGTGTCGAAAGGAGGAGGAGTGAGAGATTGCTAAATGTTTCGTTCCGGCATAGGCAAAGCAGGCTCGTGTATTTGATCTTGTCAGATCCGAATATTTTATTGATGTTGATGGCGACATAAATACCACATGATCAGTAACATTATGAACAACAACGTCATACACGTATAAGTACATTATAAAACATATAATCATTCAGCTATTATTATATCATTTTACTTTTAATATTTTTATTAAATGGAAGTAGGTAATAACCCGCTGATTTTATTTATATTTATTTGTCAAGCGATTTAAATGAAATTTTGGAGAGACATTTTACACGAAATTCTATATTCTCTTTTATTTTCATATTTTTTTTTATCTAAGCTGATTTTCCGAGATATTTTTTTAATTATACCATTTTTTAAAAAACTGGATTTTAAAACAAATAGATACTGAAATTACCTTAACTATCTTTAAATTCCAAATTTCTACTCTTTTTCTATTAAGAGGAATTTATTCTTCTATTCTTTACTTGATTTTTATTTCTCAAGCGATATAAATGTATTTTGTTTACACATTTTATGCGAAATTCTAATTGTGTCTTAAATATTGTAATATTGAAGAATACGTATTCTATTTCTAACTATACAGAGTAGCTCAAAGTATTTCGATTATATATTTTAATAGATATAATATGGATTAGATCAGTTACGATTGTGGTACATAATTTAAAAGTATCCGAATGCCGAAAGAAGTATCCGGTATCCGGATACTTACAAATTTGGTCACGGATACGGATACCGGATACAAAATTTGAAAAGTATCCGGATACAGCTTTCGGATACACCTAAAGTATCCGGATACTACCCAACTCTGCCCCGTACATGGTAAAAGCCGCACCAAATTTAAAAATGTTTTATTAAAACTTAATCCATGTTACATGTTTGGCTCATGGCCTTAACAGAGTTGCAGAAGAAATTAGGTCTAACTTTCCTTTAATAAATGATTTAATTAGTAATGTAAAAAAAAATATTTTTTAAAGCTCATCTAAGAACTCAATTGTACAAAGAAAAATTTCCTAAATTACAGATGCCACCGGAACCTGTGATTACTCGGTGGGGTAGCTGGCTTAAAGCTGCCTTTTTTTACGCAGATAATTATGAAAAAATTAAAGAAATCATATTTGATTTTGATGATTTATCTAAGGGAATATCTAATACAAAGAAGTTGGTTCAAAATCACATATTACCAAAGCAATTAGTGTTTTTAAAAAATTATGCATTTGTACCCAAAATTATATTAGATTTAGAAAAAAAAAATTACCTTTGGTGACTTCCGTAAATTTAATTAAGACGTTTGAATCAGAGTGTAAAAATGTCCAGGGCGATATTGGAAAGACGATTTTTCATAAATTTTCAAATGTAATTTTAAAAAATGAAGGATTTATTGTTTTAAGCAACCTCGCTAATATTTATTCTGGTAACTTTGA